GTTTCTTATGTCACTTCTTTGTGAACTTACTACTCATGAAATTCAGCATGTTGAGGATTAGTTTCCTCAGTTCTGCCTGTCTTCCATTACATCAACAGATACTGTTATTTTCCTTTAAGCTTGCTTGCATGGCCCTGTGAAGTATCTGGATGCAGAGATAAGTCAGCTGTTTGTTGGAGATGTGCCAGAAAGCAGTCCAAACTTTTGACTGACAAAAAATAAAATAAAAAAATAAAATAATAATAATTAAAAAAAAACAAACAAAAAAACAAAACAAAAAAAAGTCCTTGTTTACTGTTTTGAAGTGTATGGGATCTCTTAAGGTATTCTCTTATATTTATTTAAAATGTTTTTAGAAATTACCTTTAATTCCTATCTCTTCCTCCCTTTCCAAGCTTGTGGACTGATTGGCTGCTCCTAGAAGGAGATTTCACTGATACAAAGGCCATGGAGATGAATAGTAGCAGAGAAGGATTTGAGGTGATGCAGATGAGCAGTGTGCTTCAGGCATCAGATCAAATATGTATGAGAACATCTTTTCTGTCTAATACCATGGATAAGGTATATATTCAGGCATCCCATTCGATAAAATTGCAGTGGCTAGAGGAAAATGGATTTTTCTTTGTTCAGACAATAGCATCACAATAACTTGGGTGAAACCGAGTATGTAGAACAAACAAAGCATGTGACACAGGGAACCTGGGTTCCCTTTCAGTATTCTTACATTTACTGAAATGCTCTACTTCCTTTTTCTTCAGAGATAACACTGGGAATGTGAACTTGTTGTCTTCTGAGTACTCAGAGAGCCTGCAATAATACTTTGTACTTTCAGAGCATGTTTCCACTTGTTTTTTTCTTCTTCATAAATATTGAAATGAACTCTTCTATTTACTTTTTGAAGGAAATGTGAATTTATTCAAGATAACTTTGGACAAAAGGAGCACCTTTTGTGCTGAGGCACAAAGCAGCTGATGCAAGGACTGTCATGTAGAAAATGGAAGAGGTCAGAGGGAAAAATTGGGGTTTTGGCACATTATATCCAGAAGTAGGATGTTTAAGGTGCAATCTGTAGAGTGTCAGTCCCTCCGGGTTATTCTGATTCCCACAACTTCTGGATGAGATCCATGGAATAAAATTCAGAGAGGACTTCATGAAAGAAAAGGTGGACCTGGAATAAATTGCCTAATGTTTCAGAGCTGTGTATTTAAGAGTTAGATTCTGAGTATTGTATATAAATGAGTGCATCAAAGGAACCACCTCTCTAAATTGATCCATAAAGGGTTGTTATTTTTTATATATTTCTTACTCATGTGTTCATATTCAGGATGTTTGGTTCAATCTCTAGATCTACAGGGAGTCAGCGTTTGGAAGTTGGAATAATGGCTTCAATAACCTAAATTGTATTCTGAATCTCTGTGCACCAAGCAAAAAAGAAAAAAAAAAAAAGAAAAAAAAAGAAAAAAACAAAAACAAAAAAACTGAAAAATAAGCAAAAATAGCCCTGCATTGATAACAGGCATATATGTGTTAATAATCCAGGCAGTTGTCTGTCTTCCTTTTTCCACCTCTCTGGAAAAGATAATTGTAGTAAAAAATCAATATGCAGTATTTCAATTATTTATCCATATATAAATATCTAAATTTTGACTAAAAATGGAGACAAGAAGCTGCAGGAGGCTGTGTGCTTCAGTGTGTGGATTTTGTTCGGTGCTCTTTTCATTGGTTTGTTTTGTTATTGCTTTTGGGATTTGTTTGTTGCTTTTTTTTTTTTTTTTTTCCTTCTCAAAAGCTGAATTTTCCCTATTAAGTCTTCAGCAGTACCTTGACAGTAAGTCAAACACCAAGAGACTAAGGGTGAATTGCTTTCCTGGTGTTCTAAATACTTTCTATGCCTCATGAAAGAGTTATATTTTCACTTGTAATTATTGCTTCTCTTTAAAGTTCAGTAGGTTTCTGATGGCTAAAATAACTTGAACATTCATTGGAATAGCATATGGTATGGGGGAAGATACTTGAGTTTTGAAGTGTGCCAACCCAAGTGCACCCATGGAAAACTGGTAATAATTTGAATTCCTCATGGAGCTAATGCCAAGAACATAACTGTATAAAGACATCTGCAGGTATTACATGAAGTCTTCCATGTACAGACTCTTTTTATGAAAGAAAAGGTATTTTTGTTGGAAGATTGGAGAAGTGGAGACTCATTTATGCATTCCCTGTTTAGTAGCAAAACAAAAAAAACCCCTGCATTGCATCTGCAATGCAAAAAAAAAAAAAAAAAGAGTACTAGAAATTTTTATTTATTTAAAAGCAAAAGTTAAAGGTTAAAGTTATTTCCATGTATATTTGCTAGTAAATATGTAAGTCTGCTTATTTACATTTAGCTGTTGATTTCTGACTTAGTTTCTGTTAAATTGTTTTGCTTTTTTTTATCAACAGATGTGCCTTAGAAGTCTATTAGTTAGTAGGTTTGTTTTTTGTTGGACTTTTTTTTCCACAGTAAACATTCTTTTGTTGCTAGTGTTGGTTCCCACAACAAATTCAGAAATCATGTCAAGTAAGCTTTATTGGATTAAGCTCATAATTCTGCCATCTGAGACTGTTGTAAGTAAGGTATTGAGAAAAGAAGGATTGAAATCTTCTAGGCATGGAGTGCATACTTTGTCAGAGGTTCCAGCTGAAATGCTGGATATCTGCTACTGTTCTTTGTGTGCAATTTAGGGTGGATGTATACAAAATAGCTTAATCACAAAGCTAATAAAAGCATGTAGATACAAACTGTGTGACTGAAGCTGTAGTCATGAATAGTTGCCTTGAATTTAAAAATTAAAATTAAAATTAAAAATAGTCCTAATGTAGCAGCTTGCTACTTGCACTTCCATAATACAGAAGAGCAGAAGTTTGATATGATAAGCAGAAGAAATATCATGACGTCTTGTAAGTATCTAGATAGTAGATTTTTATTCCTTTTCCATGCTGATATATTTGTTGTTACATGAAAGCTAAATTTTAATGGTATTAGTTAAAAAAATCTGATCTCTTCAGAAGCCAAACGTTCATTTTTCAAAATTTTTTCTTTGAAATTGGTCTGGAAGTTTCTTTTGATAACAGACACTTCAAAATAAATTGATTTTTCTAAGGGTAAAGTAACTTCGTTCTATAAGCCCTTCAGAGGGACAGACAGGGTAGGAAGGGAGAGGGAGTTGTCCTTTATGCTAGGAAGTGGATAGACTGTGAAGAGCTGTGTCTGAGTAACAGCCTTGACCAGGTTGAGAGTGTATGGGTTAAAGTCAGGGATTGGTCCAGTAAAGGACATCTAGTGGCTGGAATCTACTACTGGCCACCTGATCAAGGAGAGCCTTTGACAAGGCCTTCTTGCTTCAACTCCAGAAAGTGCTGCGCTCACGGGCTCTTGTTCTTATGGGGGATTTCAGCCACCCGAATATCTGCTGGGATAGTGGCATGGCAGGTGGTAGACAATCCAGGAGCTTCTTGGAGTCTGTTGAGGATAACTTCCTGGTCCAGGTACTACACGAACTGACCTGGGATAAGGCCTTACTGGACCCAGTGCTTACTAATGCAGAGGAGAACATTAGAGATGTTAAGACTGGAGGCAGCCTGGGCTGTAAGTGATCATGCCCTGGTGGAATTTGTGATCTGGAGGAGTGCAGGCCTGGCAGAAAGTAGAGTCAGAACCCTGAACTTCAGAAGGCAAGCTTCCAGCTGCTCAAGAAACTGCTGGATAGGATCTCTTGGGAAGCTGGCCTTTAGGGCATGGGAACAAACAGAACTAGCAGCTATTTAAGGACATCCTTCTGTAAGTGCAAGAGCTCTCCATCCTCCAGCAGAAAAAATTGTGCAGAGGAGGTGGGCAACCAGGACCTTCAGCTTTAATTGAGGGAAAAGAATGAAATGTATGGGAAGCGGAAGCAGTGTTGTGTAGCCTGGGAAGAATACAGGGATGTTGTCTGCATATGTAGAGATAAGATCAGAAAAGCCAAGGCACAGCTGGAGCTGAACTTGGTAAAGGATCTGAAAAATAACAAGGGGTTCTATGGCTACATAGACAGGAGGAGACAGACCAAGGAGGGTGTTTCACCTCTGATAAATGAGAGTGAAGGACTGGCTTCATTAGACATGGAAAATGCTGAGGTGCTCAATAAGTGCTTTGCTTCGGTCTTCACTGGTGATCAGGCTCCTCATGTCTGCCAGGACCTTGAACCTCTAGATCTGGGTGAGAGTGGTGTATTCCATCCTAGTGTTACAGTGGAAAAAGTCCAAGACCTCCTCGTGAAACTGAATATACATAAGTCCATGGGGCCAGATGAAATGCATCTCAGGGTTCTAAGAGAGATGGCAGATGTGGTTGCCAAGCTGCTTGCCGTCGTATTTGAAAAATCATGGCTATCGGGTGAAATCCCCAGTGACTGGGCAAAGGGAAACTCTCTTAACTTGGTCCTAAGAAGTACAAATGATTCTTGGAGAGGATCAGTGACACTTATTTTAAGACTAATGTAAAGGAAGTAGAAAATTTTTAGAATGGAAAATCAGAGGCTTGAGAAGTTAGAAAGAACCTTGTTCGTTTGAAACTTTCCAGAGTCAACAACCACAGGACAAGGTATTTCAAAGTTGTACAAGGATCAAGAAAAGAGATTTCCACCAGTTACCAGAGAGAACATTAATGAAGCTTTTATGCGGAATGAAGTCAGAACGTGTCCATCTGAGAAGACTGGGTCACACTGAAGTGCTAGCATGCACTGCTTTTGTCCAAAATAGGCTTAGCTAGATTGAGAATTGTGCATAACAAGAAGTACTTCTGGGACAACTCAGATAGTTAGAAAATTCTACCTCAAAGTACACAAAATTCTGTTGTAAATTCTTTAATGCATTAAAGACTTTATTTGAAGGGTCGGAGTTGCAAATACCAGTGTAAGACAAAGGGAATTTCACATAGCTTAGGGGTAGTTCCTAATAGTTTTTTATTTCTGATTTTGTTTTAGAGAGTGTCAGTCTGCTATATCTGATCTACAATGAATGCCAAATCTGCAATCAACAAAGAAATTTTTGCCCCACATGATGAAAGGATGCTGGGAGCTGTCCAAGTTAAAAGAAGAACGAAAAAAAAGATTCCTTTCCTTGCTACTGGGGGTCAGGGTGAATATTTAACATATATCTGCCTGTCAGGTAAGATTAAAGATTCTGACATCCAGTTGTCTGTTTTAGTTTATCTTCAATGAATTGATTACATGTTACCCATAGCTGTGCAGTGCTGGCTGACTTGAGTCTTAGTAATGTAAGCAGAGAATAATAGCATTTGGAATGCAGGCTATTAATATTTGTGCTGCATAATAAATAGATTAGGTGATTTCTTTGTTTAAAAAAATGTTTTCTTAGAGCATAACTGCAGATTATGAAGAAAGAACATTTGGAAAAATCTTTTCCTATCAGGTTTGAGATATTTCTTGGAGGGATAAAATTTATGTTGTACCTGCTTTTTAAGCCCTGAAATGTCTGATTTGAAGCAAATATATTTTCCTCTTCTTTTCATAATTATATCTGGTGTCACTGGGTCCTTAAAAATGAAACTTTCATCCAGAATATTTTTAGCTTGTTGACATACAGCACCTCTGTTGGTCTTCAGTCACTTGACTTTAAAAAAGTGAAGGAGGAAATAGATGCTTTGAAGGAGAAAATGATGTAAAGACCTGTTTTGAGACATCACAGGCTACAGGGAGTAATGACCTATTAGTCAGTAAGCTGTTCATGTGAATCATGAGTTTCTCCAAGGTCAAAACAGTACTAGTGAGAGTCTGAATTTCAGTTTTGTAGAACAGGCTGGGTAGTAGTTGTATGTTTTGCTACATACTTTTTATATTTTCTAATGAAAGTGGTGTCCAGTTCATTTACTTTAGTATATATAAATAAAACACATTAAATTAAGTCCCCTGTAGTTTTGGTGTCTGCCAATTGAGTTTGTGTGAATATATATGGTACCCTAAGGTGTTGTAGTCATGTTTTTAAGCATCAGTTGCTTCCTTAGAGGGTGTGCACCTTAACAGAGGTAAAATCAGTAGTCAGAGGATAAGTGCTCTGTAAAGATCAGTAGATTACCATTGTGTTTGAAGTAAGCGGAAAATAGAGTTTAACAGACTCTGTCAAATCTTTTTTCACTGCAAATTAAATTAAAACTTTCAAAATATAGAATTTATAGAAACCACGGAAATGCTGGGTTTTGAAACATGGTGCATAGGTGCAGAATTTATAAGTTGCCGAATAACATTTGTGTATGCATGTAAATATGTAAATAAGCATATATTAAACGTGAGCTGCACAGCATCTGTACACTCATACTGATCACAATTAGGCAAAACAGATTTAATATTTTCTACTTGCCATTTTCCCCCTTTACAATAGTTTAAAGAAAGGGTTTGATTCAGCTAGGATTTTTCCTGGATTTGTGGTTGGGATATCCTCTTAGGATGTAGGGATTGGAGGTTTCTACTTCCTCACAAAATGAAGAAAAAAGGAGTTCTAATTTCTGACTTGTTATGGATCAAGGCTCAACTCGTTTTCTTTTTGGTGGTCAGTTTTTAGAATTTTAATTTACTTTTCCTGAGTGGTCTTATTTAAAATAATAATTTTGTTTTAGGACAGTGCGGACATTCAGAGTGCGTACATAACACATCTGTGTTCATGAGTATAGGTTAGAGGCATGAGTTATGCTCACAGTATTATGTAGGTGAATTCTATTCATCTGATTGTTGGTTTTTTAATTTATTTTATCTTTTTACCATTCTGAGGAACTTCTCAACTCAGCCATCCCCATGTTCATGTGTAGCAGCCAAAATGAAAAATGTACATTAAAGATGTTAAATGATCTGGGGTGCATCTAGTGTCTTTCTGCAACAGGATAATGTGTCATGAGTAAGAGAAATAGCAGAGGTCTTGATTTCAGCATAGCTTCTCATTAATGACAATGAGAAGTATTTACAGTTTAAATAAAATTACTGTGTGTTGGGTACTGGAAATCTGCATTATTATATTAGGAGAGTTATATGTGCCATGCTGTTAGTAAAGTTCTGCAGTAGTATGAAACAGATTTTTATTAAGTGTCATAGTAGTCTATGGTATCAAACATATTGTATGACTGGGAATTTCAGTAGATGACAACAAGAGACTGGGTCTACCAGGCTGTACTCACGTTTGAGGGCAGATTTATAATTCGAAAGTGATCAAAAATATGATCAAATGCAACAGGATTGCAGGCACAGTTAGTCAAGAGTAATTGATGACACAAAACTAAAGGGTAGGTAGTAACTGTTTCTGCCACTATTATTAAAAGAAATTGAACTAATAATGATCTTAGTTGCAGCATGGAGTTGTGTTATCTTTATGGATTTATTTTATTTTTTTAATTTATAAGTTACTGTATGAATGGCAGTTCTGCCGTATCCACAGCCAAACATGAATTTTATCTTGGGGTTGCTGAATGTACTAATATACTCTGTTACCATCCATTTTTCTGTGATTTAGCATTAAGTGTGAGAAGCATTGGTGGAGAGCTCTGAATGTTAGTTTCCACTTAAAATGAGTGTTGCTGAGTGTTGCAACACTAGTTTTAGAAAAAAATCTGTAAGCCTTTCACTCTTGTCCAATTTTTTTCCCCCAGGTTTCTGTATATTAGGTAAATATAGTTAGTGACTAAAATATCTTCGTGTTCTTAATTTCCTTAAATCTATTCAATCTGTCTTTTGCTAAGGGAAATTTGATAAAGTTTAAGGCTGAATTCATCAGTTGAAAGAATCTTCTTAAAAACTAACTTGTTAAGAGACTTATAAATGTTTGGGAATACAAATGTGTCTTGCCTAGTTATAGTTTAATTCAAGATTGAGCACAGAAATCTAGTTACCTGACATTGTAATAGCTGCTTTTACTTTCTACTGAGTTTGTAATTGAAAAATTACACAGTTTTTTATAATTTAGTTGTTTTGTTTTTTGTGTTGGATTGAAAAAGCATTACAACCTAATTGTTGTCTACCTGCTTTTTTGTAAATGAGGGCAGAGATCTTGAGCAGGGACAGTGCACCACTCTCACCTTTAGGATTCCAAGATAACAAAGCTGGTGTACTGAAGCATTAAAATAATCAAATGCTTAACAGAGCGAAGTGGGCAAGTAAGGGAGGTTCTTCCTTCAAAATTACATTTGTTGTATATGCTGGAGTTTGTATTTGAATTGGCTAGAAGGAAATACTCATTAATGCTCCAAAGAGGTGTACCTAAAGCCTGACAGTTATGACTGAAGGCAGGAAAGAATGCTGCTGCAAAACTGCTTACTGCACTTGTGAAGACTGAACAGTTGAATTACCTGCAACCTTCATGCCCTTTGTATTTACATGGCTGACAAAGACAGATGGGCAAGCATAGCCTAGGGAGATCCTAATGGAGTTATTTAGCTAAAGAACTGCAAACAAGGAGTAGACAAATAAGAAAAACGAAGGTGAAGTGTGGTTGTGGGCAGAACAGAGAATATAAAAACTGGAATTATCATTATTATTATTAAATGTAGGAAATTATTTGATATAGAGAAAAGGCAAGAAATTCAGAGCTGAAAGTGGGAATTTATCACCTCCTCCACACTAGGAGACCTACTAACAGTTATTGGATCAGATTTAAGTTTTCATTTTATAATCATTGTCTCATAATTCAAACAAATCTGTTTAGAAGAGCTCTCAAACTTATTTGGAATGTTATCTGAATTATGAAATGCTTAAAAGGTCACTTCAGAGGTATAGGACGTAGGCAATAATTTCTGAAACTAGTTCTGTGTTATTTTCTGTGACATGATAACATTATGATTTCTTAGTAACTTTGAATATTAAAAGGGGTTTTAATTTGTTATAATGCATTGGGAATTTTCCAGTTTGTACATATGGAACTGGCATCGACCTTTCCAGAACCGAAAGTCTGTTGCAGTTGCAAGTAACTGAATGAATCAGATGGTTCCTTCTGAACCTGAATTCTTATGTGCCATAACTCTTAGTTGCACCATTCTCTTTCTCATCCTCCTTGTTAAAATGTTGGAATTTGTGTGTAAATATTAAAAGATAATATTGTTTAAAACTTAGGGTGGAAACTTTCTTTTTTGTTGTTGTTGTTACTGTTCCTCTCTTTACTGTCTCCAAATTAAATTAACATGCTTTCAGTTCAAGGATTTATTTATTTTTAGTGACTTCTATGTGAAACTGCAATTTTCTGAGAATGATGAAAGAAAATCTGAAAGGAAATGGGGAGAGAAGGGGGAAAGGCATATAAAAGAGTATACAAAAATTAGGTGTACGTGCAAGGGAAGAGCATATTTATTTTCTCTACTTTCACTAAAATGTAACCTTATTGACCACATCATGTTTTTTCTCAAACAAAAAGTTAATAAGCTTTAAAAGAGATTTATAGTTACCACAGTGTGCGGGGGTGGATTTTCCCCTTCTCCTGCTTCAGAGTGTACAGAGAGACAGAGATACACCTTGTTATCTTAATTAGTTCTATGAATGCCCTCTGTATTAGGCTCTTAGAACACACTTCAGCTAAAATCTAACCACACCACTTGGTTTCACTTTCAATAATAGCTTCATATTCTGTTTTTGTCTCCAGCCAGTGGTACCATAAAGTTGTTTTTCAAACATAAACTTGTTATTCCTTTCAAAGTGACTGCTCATGGAATGGAAAGTTACTTAAAAATGACATATATCCCTCCTTCCTTTGAAGGTAAGTTCATGTGGCTGTCAGAAATTGGCCATAATTTAATTGGAAATTCCAGGGCAGGTTTTGTGCAATTGATTTTTCAGTGTGGTACTTGAGGTGAAAATTGAAAAGTAGTGATAAGGCATTTTTGATTAAAATAACTTACTTTCTTGTGTGTTCTCACTTGTCATGTCAGTTTTGATCCTGTGCTGAAGTTACCATTTCCTAATTTATTTCTTTAATTTTTCCTTTTCACATTTTCAGGATCTTATAATGAAGAGAATTCTCAAGGTTTCTTTTTGTTAGGATTCAGGAAATGAAAGTAAATTTCATTTTTCCACTCCTTTTCCAGGAGAATTTTGTAGGTACTTTGTCATATGGTGTAAAGAGTTGTTATTGGTTATTTTTCTAGGGTTATTTTCTCTCTGTTTAAACATAGTATTAAGGAGTGAGGATAATACTGCAGTGTTGATGGTCAAGCATAGGGCGCTCACTTTGGAGGGGTCTCTGGCTTACTTAGGTGTCAGGCTTTCCACTGTATGTTTCATTACTTATGCAAAGTAGAACATAAATCATGTCTTCTGCAGGTTCTGTCCAACCTGGACAGCTATTTGAGGGCTACTGCGGATCAGTTGTAGTGGTTGCTGTAACCTCGTGGACTTAGATTAGTACAACAGGTGGAAGATCAGGCCTTCTATTGATATGTGAGTTTTATTAGGGAAGACATTTCGGGATCTGTACTCAGTGCAAGGACTGCCAGTTACATACAGTACCTAAAAGGTAAAGAAGAGTGTGGCTACCATTACCAGTTCTCTGCCTAAATTTTTTGCCATTTTACCTTAAAATATGTGTTAACTTTCTGTTGGTCTATGAAAAAACTTCTCCGAAGTTCAATTCTTATTGACTAAGTCAATGATGCAGTTCAGTAGTGTGAATGGAGTTGCACTGCACAAGTGTAATTCAGTTCCAATTCAATGGCAGGTTCTTAGCATATATTCTTCTGTGCACTGAAGTTTGTGTGTCTATATAGTGAGTTGACTCACTCTGCTTACAGAGGCTTTTTGTCTGAAGTCATACAGCTGAGCTAGTGCAAGTACATGAATATGGCTCTCTGGCCATGGGAAACATGAATAACTTCAGTTGACTTATGATGTTATAAAACAGTTAAGACTCACACGAATGAAGCACAATGATAAAGATACTATAAGGAAAACTGTTTTTTAATGGTAAGATCAGCGAAAATAAGCGTACGCAACTTTGAAAAATTGTTGTATAATCTGTCATTGGAGACTTTAGCAAGAAGCTGTAGAATTGTGCCAAGAATTGCATAAATATGACAAGTTTTACATTTAAGATGAAGAAGATGCTCTGAGAGATCACTTGGGTTTACTTCTAGATCAGTAATTGTACTATTTTCTCATGCATAAGCTGCTGGTTATTATTTTCCTAACTGTACAGCTTGATATGCTTAGATGTAATTGTTGATGTATGCCCCTGTAAAACACAATGATAGGCTGGTGCGTGTATTTGTTGCCAGGCAAAGTTAAATTCACTGATGGAGTTAATTTTCAACGTACTATACAAAGAAAAATGAAAAGCTTACTAACTCCTGTGGAATTAATATTAAAGCCATTTCTGCATAACAAATTATAATTTGGAAAACATGCTTATATCACCAGATACACAAGAATGATTATGGCTTTTCACTGATCCATTTCACCCTTATTAATGTTGCTTCAGAAAGGAAGTAGAATCCCTTCTGAAAGCTATAGAAGATAATATGTCTCTTCAACATTCTCACCTTTTATTTACCAGGGTTTCTTTTAACCTTAATTAACCACATCAGGAATTTGGATGAATTTTGACATTGATTCATTCCTCTACTTTTCTATTTAAAATAGCTAAATCAAAATGTACTGATGATTGTTTAGGTATTTTAAAATATTTTAAAAACTTTAACTAGAAATATAGTTATGCAGAGGCATAATATTTTCATTAATCTGTCTATGGAGTAAACAAAGGCCATTACAGCTACATTTTTCTTGTAAGAAAGATAAAACATCCAAGAGATGTCTCAGAACTTCTTTAATATGAGCCTTAACCGTTGCACTTATTTTGTTTTGAGATTGTGTTAGCTGTGTGTATTTTTATTTATTTATTTATTTATTTAAACAGTACTTAAACATCAGTTTTGTAATGTGCTTAGTCCTGCAAATGGAAATCCTTCATAAACTAGAACAGGGAGAGGGAAAGATAATAAATGTGAAAAAGCAAATGAACAAAACAACACATGCAAATTTCTCTTCTCCCAGTTCTTTCAAGGGGAAATTCCTAAGTGTCACTGTCCTATCTTGGTAATAGCTTTGAGACAAAGGTTCAATTATTCAGTTACCTTTAGGATAAATGCATGTCTTCAGTGTTGTGCTCAGTGACTGGTATTCATTGTTCATACTGGCTATTAAGTTGGTCAAAGGAAATATTGATATTTGTGTTTAACTTGACATGATTTGACATTTGAAACTTGACATGATTTGATTCAGGCTGTGGACGTGTGTGTCTGTATAGGCACATATTGAATATATACATGTCTATATATACATACATGTATATCTATATATAGATATCTATACATGTATGAAGTCTAATTCATACTCAGCTACTAGCCTCAGTGCTTGCTGAAACTAGCAGAAATTGTTTGCAGTAATGCTGGCTGATTAGAGCTGGTGGTGTTCAGACATAGCCTGTGTCATGTCATGGAAGACTGACACTGCTGACAAGGGTAATGTTAGTCTCAGAACAGCTTTCCTGTTCCATGGCAGCCTAATGAATTTGCCACAGTGTTGAGATTGCAGGTGCAGTCACTGCTCACATGAAATTGTTGAAGTATAATTGTTTTCATCTACTTCTAATTATGATAGGTTGTAATACTCAATGCTGTTCTTAACTAAGCATTTTTTTTTTATTATTTTTTTTTTAATCAGAACTTTTTATCGGGATATTTTTGATATCTTAGCTCTTTGGTACTCAAAGGGCTTTTTAGAAGTCTAAATACCACTTTCTCTTAATGCTCATGCCAAGTTCCATTTTATAAGGGAATTTCCAAAACGTCCTCTAAGAGTTTTTGAAAATCTTTGAGCAATAAGATAGGCAATTGATTGCTTTTGGAGTTATCTTTCTGTTCTTCATTATTGATCTTTGTATCTATTTAAAAATAGAAAAATAAGAGTTTTTTTGACAGAAGGACTAATTTATTGATGGTATTAAGAGTAATACCTTTAACATATGTTGATGCTCTGAACATTTCTGATTGTGTCCAGTTGTTCAATTTAATGTAACCAAAACTTTGCACAAAATGTTTGCTTAGGTGGGAATCCTGTTTTAACAAACATACAGAATTGCTTATTTGAAAGTATATGGTCTAGGATTTGTAATTTATTTCTTTATTTATTTTTCTCTTAAAAGTGAAGGATGAATGTTTATAAGCTCCTGTCAATCTATCTTTCTGTGCTTAACCTAATTTACATGCAGGAAACTTTTTTTTTTTTTTTTTTAATTTAACATGCAGGTGTACAGTTGTGCTTCTGATCACTGCTTGCTGTTTCATAGTCTTGCCAGTGGTTTGTTTTTCCAGTGAACTATCATGTCTCAATTTCAGTTTTATAAGGTGAAATTTTCATCTGGGAATCTTGTGTTACTGCCTCTTATTTTATGGAGAGTTAAGATTTTTGTGTTGTTTTATCCTCCAACTCTGTGCACATATGCACTTCTTGGAAAATTTTCAAAACCCTGAAGTGTGATGTTGCAGAGGACAGGGAACAAAAACAAAAAACATGGATAAAAATCTAGAAATCTGTATGAGATAAGTAAGGAATCAGGCATAACTTTGCAATAATAAATAAGGATAGACTTAACACTCACGTATAGGAAATGTTTATTGATGCAATAAAGTTATGTGTAAAAAAAAAAAAAAAAAAAAGCAACAAAAACAAAAAACAAAAACTTTACAAAACTATATGTTGGAGGCGTTATGTTATCTTTTTACTCACAAAAGAAGCTTGATGAGGTTATTCTTGGCTGGAATTTGTAGCCTTTCCACGGAGGCATCCCAAAATTACTAAATGTCTTACAGAAAGTAATTAGGTTGCAGAATGCTTTTCCTCCATTGCAAAAGATGGCAAGTGTATTTCTTTATCCATTCATTGGAATTATTTCTGATGGGTAGGTTTACATTCCTGAGGAGATGGAAGTAGCTTCCCTCAGTGAGCACAGCATATTTTGCTGCACTTTTTTTGCTCAGAACATGACAGATGCTTGCATCCAGTTTACTGGCAGGTTAAAGTGTTTGAATGTTATGCTGTCTTTGGAAGTAGTTTGTTCATTCTCTGTCCAAATGACTTTATTTTTATTTTTATTATTATTTTGGCAGAGGTTAGTGTTACCTTATATGTGATAAAAAAAAAAAAAAAAAAAAAAAAAGTAAAAAAGAAAAAAAGAAAGAAATAGAAAAGCAGAGCTAAAAATAAGAATGTAATCTGCAATGTTTTATGATAACTTTGCCTTCAGCTTGGAATATGGCAGCTATGGAAATAAGACCTATGTGAGTGCCTTCTGATTGCTAGTTTTTGTAAAAAACACTCTCACTTTACAATAGTAATTCAAATTGTGTTTTGCTTTTAGGCAGGATTCAGTTTGAACAATTTTATGAAGTTTCATGGTACTGGAGTTTAGCATTACTGCACTCTGACTCATGATGATACAAAGTGAACAGTTTGTATCATATGGGGTAGGAAACATCTGGAGTTCTATCCAGTTGTATTTCAGAAAATGTTTCTGTCAATTACTATGTAGCTTTGCTCTTGTAACTGCTAAAAGATCTCTTTCTCCTAGACTATTAATTGCAGTGTTATGAACTCGTATAGGTAAACATCAGCTTAAAATCTTATCCTGTTACTGTACTGTAAGCTGTAGGAATTAAATCCACTAAGTTTTTTCATAGTTCTATTTGAAGTCAGTAGCATCAAACA